TAAAGCTTTTCAGCATCTTGCTTTTCTCCTAAGACTTTCACCTTTTCTAAATTAAGAGTTTCATTTATGGACCACAGTTTCTGTTGGTCTTCCTGAAGTAAAGTTATTCTGGCCTCCACCTCTATGAGCTTTGATAAAAGTGAACCCTTCTCTAACTTTAAAGCATTCCCCTCCTGTGCAAGAAGCTGCTTCTCTGATTTCAGACCCCTCAGCTCTTCTGACATTAGTTCAATTTCCTTTTTGGCTGATGTTAACAAATAAGTTAGCGACTACAGAAACAAAAGATGGAAAGAATGGAAACAAAATGAAATCAAGCAGACAAATGCAAGCCCAAATAACTTAATGTAACCTAAATCATTCAAGTTTAAACATTTTTTACAATAAATGTCACAGAAACTATCTGGATAACGGGGGAAAGAAACCAGATGAGCAGAGCCCGTGAAAGGATAATACAAAGTCGGTTTAGCTCTGCAAAATGCTGATATGGCTATTAGTTTATCTTTGAAACAACTTTTTAAATTACTCCTGATAGCTACCTTAAAAACAGTAGTTTGATTTTGACATCAGGGCATAAGATTCTTTCCTGCCATCCCAATTATCCAATAATTTTGTGGTAGAAAGGATGCACGGAAGACTCTTTAAAAATACAACCCAAAAGACTACAAAAAGTGAGTATATTTTAAACAAACAAAAAAAGCGGGGGGAGGGTAAGGGCAGTGGAGAAAAACACCACTGCAACATGTCAAACTGACTGCAGGACCTTACTAAAGGACAGTCACTGGCCTGAGACTGATTTAGTCTCAAAATTACATCTAGCTTATTAAAATTTGCTAGGCTTTGGTGACTAAATTAAATGGGTGTTTTAAAAATGTATTGGTTTTTAAAATAATTCGACCACAATGTCTATACCAGCGCTTTTCTGAACTTTCTGCAATGGTATAAATATTCTTTATCTGCACTGTCCAATATGGTCGCCACTAACCATACGTGTGGCTAGCGAGTACTTCAAGTGTGGTGAGTGTGACTAAGGAGCTAAATTTCTAATTTATTGAAATTTAAATTTAAATGGCCACACATGGCTAGTAGATACTATATTGAACAGGACAGCTATAGATCACTGGCTCTTAAAACTAGGGAACAAGGAGGCTTTGTGCGGTCCATGGACCTCCTGACATTTTTTTATAAAACTTGAGTGTATAAATAAACTTTCCTAGGTAAAATATCTTAAGGTTTCATCAGATTCTCAAAAGAGCCTGTTGTTGACAAACACTAAAATCCAAAGAAATCAAATAACCAGACAACTCTGGATGGGGGATCAACCCTGGCATTTTAGCCAAACGACCGTTGTAAAAAATACATTAATGAGACTTCATACAAGCTATTAGAATGCTGTGGTCTGGTCAGGCTGCAACAGTTTAAGGGAAATGCGAAATAACTGGAGTCCCCGCAATAAAGGGAACTGCAAAGACAAAAGGTCTGGAAATTACATCCAGTGTTAAATGGCTCAAAAAACTGAAGATGTTTCACAGGGAAAAGAGAAAGCCTTGATGGCCAGCATGCAGGAGAGAGAAAATATGGGCATCTTACGTATGACATGTTATGTCGTGGTCCACTTAATTCACAAGTTTTAAAAGGGATTTGTTTCAAACCCTATATATGCTCTTTTATATTTTCTTTCTACTAAACTCCCCTATAATTTCTCTGATACATTAAAAATAAAGACAAGTATTTACTTTTCTTTGAAAAACTTAAATAGTAGCAGGAAAAAGTTAAATAGTAGTAGGAAGGTCAAACTTCGTTAAGTTACCAGAGTCAAGAAAATATATTGGGGCACAGGTACCATCCTGACACCACAAAATGAAATGCAGTGTATCTAGTTCTACTCTATTTAATAAGAGGATGTTTCCTAACAACCCTTGAACCCAGCTTCCTCATCAGTGAGCTCATGGAGCCTTCCCGGGGACATACAAAAGCGCTCTCCAGAGTCCTCCCTTCTGAGTTTTCCTCTGAGAGTGTTTCTCCAACCAGGCTCCATCCCTGCCCACTCGCTTCACCTGGCCTCTGCCTTCGGCTTTTCTACGACATGTCTCTCCTAACCCCAGCGCAAACTGGCAGCAAGATGGCCAAGATTAGAAGAACGACAAAGAGTCTGTTACAAGCAGGCAGGCAGAGCTCAGGCAACATAACTCTGTGACAGCTGGCAACAAGCGGCAGAGCAGGTGATGGCTACATGGTCTGTTCAGGGGAAAGACCGTGCAGCCATCGCCATCCCTGAGGAGGACAGCAGCTGGTACAGAACACCTGAAGCCACAGGAAACGTGATTCAGCACCCTGTCACGCCCTCGGCAGGTTAACACGTGTAAAGGCCGACCGGGCTCATCCCATGTACTCTCTAAGCATCCTCCCGGCCCCGTGCAGAATTCCAGCCAACTACTGCAACCACGTAATTGTCTCCCATGACATACTTTGGCTTTGTCAGCTTGCTTTTTCAGTTCCACTATCTCCTGCAGCAAGTCACTGTTCTCCTTTTGTGCAGCCTTCAGACTCTCCCCTGTCTCCGACAGCATCTTCTGTAGGTTCTGCAGGTCTTCCTTATGCTTGGCCTGGGTCTCAGAACTGGCTTCTTCATACCTGGCTTTCAGATCTCGACACTGGTTGTGGCTCATTTCCATCTTCTTTTCCTGCAGAAACCCCAAGTGAAGGAATTAAGGCATCTAGCTGTATTTGTACCACCCCTCACCTTCCTTGCCAGTAATTAGTCCCCTTTATTCTTTCCTTACCAGGTCTGACAATTTGTTCAGCAGTTCTTCCTTTTCTTCCTCATGCTTTTTAGATGCTTCTTGCTGGCTCGCTTCGGCTTTGAGAGTTACTTCCCCAATGCTTCTCTGTAGAAAACTTACACTTTCATTAGCCTTTGTAAGTTTTAGCTGTAATTCTTCTACGTTTCTAGAACAAGTTTTGAGGGAAGGTGTCAGATTTTTCAAAAGAGTGCTTTCAATTCTAGAGTTATACTTAAAGATACTCTCAATGATAATTGTATTAATGACTGTAAATGTTATGAGTAATTAATAACATCTGAAATAAGCCACAACATGACTTGCCCTGAAGAATAATTTTAACAATTGTGATAGTAATACATTATTTAGAATAACAACTATCATAACTGTGAAAGTTTATTACTTTATGTCAATAGATCATTAAGGAAAAATGGGTAAAAACTAAACATACTGGAGGATTGAGTATTTAGAAAGTTTCAAAATGTTAGCAGACGAGGTTATCAAAAACTCATTCTAGTGCCACTTGAGAACAGAAGATACAAAAATGATGATAAATCATTTGAAGTTCTAGCTTAAGGATAACCATGTGGGCAAACAAAAATGTACAGAAACGTGGGACATCAACCTAGAGACGCTAGCAAAGGAATCCGCGAACAAAAGAGGAAAACTTGGGGGGGGGGTCTCTGGATTGCACACCTGAAAGACACCAATAGATATGGAACTTCTCGAAGGCACCGTACCACAGGCACCGGTGCAGCTGCACCCACCTCACAGCGAGTTTGACCAAAGCTGGTCAACCAAGGCCCGGTCGCCAATCACCTGCCAATGCTGAACTGTGCATGGGTGCATTGCTGAACACAAACAGAACCTTGCCAAGTATCAACACTTTCAGAATCAGAAGTCTAATGGTCCTAACGTGTCCTTGAAAAGTTTTTGCCTTCTAAAACATTCGATTTTTGTTTGGTAGCTACGAAAAGGGAAAAAATCGAAGCAATGGGAACCTCAGAACAAAGACGAGAGCAAAGGCAGCAGAAGCGTTAGCACTGAGGAAGGGCAATGGCGTGATCGAGAGCAGCGAGGGCTCCAGGCCCACACTGAAACCTCACGAAGCCTCAGTTTCTTTTTCTTTAAAATGGGAACAATAATACACTCACCTCACAGGATTATTACGAGAATTAGAAAATATACTCTATATAAAGTTGTTAGCGGTGCACAGCACATAGTAAGCTCTTCATAACTGTTACCTATCATTACGTTGAAATAGGTTAAAAACATTTTAACTGCCTGTACGAAATGTTATTGCCATTGGTAAACTGCTACCTTTTCTTTACAAGTCACCAAAATGTCTACAATATTGTATTCCTTAGAAGGTTAAATGGTTGTTCAAGGATACACTGAGGTAATAAGAGAAAGGAAGAGACAGGGAACTTTAAAACATACCATTCCGGAAGATTCTGGCTCCCCTCCCCCCAGGCCCCGCTTCAGGGCCTAACCTGAAGCAGGCGTCTCGTTAAACTCACGCATACCTTTCTTTCAGACGTAATTCATCATTCATTTTTGTCAGCTGAGAAGAATTATCTCCTGACATTCTCATTATTTCTGCAATGTCGTTTTCCAGTTTTTCTTTCGCCTTTATCAACTGCTCTTCTCTTTCATCCCTCTCTCTAAATTTTGCCTCCATATCTAAATATTTGTAGAAAAAAAATAGCACTGTTATGTTATAATCGACCAAAATTTACTGACTGCGTCTTGTATGCCGCGCCTTGCTCTGGGAATCTTCGCATAGCAATCCCTGCCCTCATGAAAATGACGTTCTAGCAAAGAAGAGAGACAATAAACAGGATGAATAAAGAAGAGAAATAGTAGCATAGATAGAGCTAAGAGGAAAAAAAATACAAGCAGAGAAAGGAGCTAGAAGGTGAGGGCTTGGGCAGAGCCTCTCTGCGGCAGTGACATCTGAGCACAGACCTGCAGGAAGTACGGGCGAGGGACTGCAGGCCAAGGATACTCGCAACCCGCTGGCCATGCGAGTAGCCCCCAGGAGGCCACTGTGGCCGAGTGGAAAGAACAAGGAAAAGTAGTACGAGAGGAAATCGGGGAAAAACGCAGCCTGACGACGGGACTTTTACTGAGTGAAACGGGAGCTGTCGGTTCTCCTGAGCCAAGAAGTGCCATGATCTGACCTGATGCTGAAGGATCGCTCTGGCTGCTGTGTCGAGAACAGACTAACGGGGACATGGGCAGAAGCAGGCGGACCAGGAGGTCAGCTGCTGTAATGAAGGTCGGCTTGGATCGGGGACAGCAATGGGGGCAGTGGGACGTGGTGGGTGCGGACTTATATGATAACAGGGCGGAGAGGATTTGCTGAAGGTTACAGACCTCGAATGAGTATTTTATCACGCCTCACCATAATGAGCGAAGAAGTCTTGGCTGAATACTAGATACGTCATTATGACACACGACGATTATCTCGAATCCTTGGAAGCCTACTAGTTTTAATGTTTAGCGACCAGAGACATCTTCTTACCTGTTAAATTTTCTCTCAACTTCTCCAATTCAGAAGACAGCGCATTAAATTGCTCCTCTTTTTGGTGTAATTTATTTACAGTTTCTATTTAGAATAAAGTAAAAAGTTTAATATATTTCATATTTAATAAGCCATCTAGAGCTTGGCTGTCCTACAACCAAACCAAATCATATGCTTGAGATTCGAGTCACAGGAACACTGAAGTCCCGTTATGAACGGAACCAGTGTATAACGAGCCTGAAGAAGCGAGCGTGGTCCCTCTCGCCTCCCCCAACCTGGAGGCCGGCAGGCCCCGGCACCCGTTCCCCAGTCAGCGCTCTCCTCCTGCTTCACACTCACAGGGCTAGTGACCGAAGCTTCGGACAGACAGACTCCTCCCAAGTACACTTGCACTGTAATATGGAACGAGCTTCCAGTGAAGAGGAGGAGAGACTAACGGGCGTTTGAGGCCTGGGGAAGCCAATGGCTTCGCTGCCACCGAGCGTGGCAGGAACTGCCAGGGCGGTGGGGCCGGGCTGCAGGCAGCGCGCACTCTGCGTGCTCTGCAGGCTGGCCAGGGTGAGAACGTGGCCATCTCCAAAGCGAGCTGCTCACACCAAGTTAGACATACCTTGCATACTTCTCTGAACAGAGACCGCCTCCTCTGAAGCACCAGCAAACTTCTCTTTCTAAAGAAAAAAATCAGATATTCAGAATAGGAAGCTTTCAAATTATAAAAACTAAAAGTTTCAACCAGTTATATATACAATGCTATCTACTTTTTGTTGTTGGTTCTGTTCCATTAAAACTAACTTATACTTAAAATCTGCAGTCATCAATTACTACCATATGCATATTGTGCATGTATACACACGAATGAGGTTGGCGCATGTGTGTGTACACGCCTGGGCACGCATATGTATCTGTGCACACGTGTGAGGATGCCTACTCACGGAAGCGCATGCAGGTGTGTGTACAAACGGTGCGAGATTCTCTTAGCTAGTTTCCCCGTAACCCTACGACTGTCCTTTCCCGTGACATGTGGGTATCACTGGCACTGCTCATGGGTATCAGCCTTGGCCGAGCTCAAGTTTTGAGACAGGAAGCAAGGTAGAAGGGAGAACAGTTGAGAAAAGGTTAGAAAAAAAGGTCTTACAACTTGAGATTAAGGAAAGAGGATATTTCGGAAGGAAAAGTAATTTTCTGATGTGGAATGAACTGAGTTGTAAGGAAGAATGCTTTGAATTTGCAAAGTCACACAGCACTGCGCCTGCTGGCAGAGGGCGCTGAAGGTCCAGCGTGGCTTGCTGACTTGCTGTCGCAAGGCAAGCAGAAGGCGCAGTGCAAGAGCACAGTGCTCACTGTATGTAAAACCATACACGTGCTGGGTGTGTAACTTGGGAGGTCCCTGTGAATAGTAAAACTAAGTAGTCAGTAACATGCCGAAGCAATGCATTACCGAGGCAAAGGACAGATTATTTTTTTAAAGTACAGTCATCTCCCCTTATTCGCAGTTTCGTCTTTGGTGGTTTCAGTGACCCACCGTCAACCGATGTCCGAAAATATTAAATTAGAAATTGCAGAAATAAACAATTCCTAAGTTTTAAACTGTGTGCTGTTCTGAGTAGTGATGAAATCCTGTACCGTCCCGCTCCACCCACCCGGATGTGAATCATCCTCTGTCCAGCATATCCACGCGGTACATATACCTGCCTGTTAGTCACCTGGTAGCCATCTTGGCTACCAGATCGACTACTGAGGTATCTTAGTGCTTGTGTTGAAGTAACTCTAATTTTACTTAAGAATGGCCCCAAAGCACAAGAGTAGTGATGCTGACAAATGAAGCCGTAAAGTACTTCCTTTAAGTGAAAAGGTAAAAGTTCTCAACTTGATAAAAAACAAAAGAAAAGTGTATGCTGAGGTTGCTGAGATGTACAGGGAGAATGAATCTTCTATCTGTGAAACTGATAAGAAGGAAACAGAAAATCATGCTAGTTTTGCTATTGCGCCTCAAGCTCCAAGTCACAGACAGCGCCTGCTAAGTGCTTAAAGATGGAGAAGGCCTTAACAGTGTGGGTGGAAGATGTGGACAGAAAACGTGTCTCAAGTGATGGCACGTTGAGCCTATGAAGACATCAGCAAGGGGTCCCCTGAAACGAGGGCTTACGTTCCCATGACTTTTATTTTGGCGTATTGTTATAAAGGTCTTATTTTATAATGAGTTATTGTTAATCTCTCGCCTCTGCTATAGGTATGTACGTGTAGGAAGAAAAAGTGTATAGTGTGTTCGGTACTTTCCAGGGCTTCAGGTATCCATGTGGGGTCTCAGAGCGTAACCCCACAGATAAGCGGGGACGACTGTAATGTCTATGTTTGGGTTTGATCTGATTCCCCTCAAGGTGTTTATCAGCCAATGACTAACACACTCAATTTAAATAAATTCTTTGAAAGAGAAAAGAAATAGGTGCAATACTTTTATGGAGGTTTTTGTTTTTAAACAGGAACAATTCAAATGGCCAGAAACCCCGAGATTCAGACTCCCGGCAGATACTCACCAAAGCCTGAAGTTCTCTTTCCAAAGCCTCTTTCACGTGACTGACTTCACCCAAGTGTTCCTGTAGGTTACTAAGCGTTAGCTCTCTTCCCTGCAGCTCTTTGGTAATGCTACTAACCTACCATAGTGTTACGTGGTACAGACGCAGATGACCAAAAACAGAAAACAAGAACAAAACAGAATGAGAAAGAAAAAAATAAAACATATGTAAAAACCCATGAGAAAAAAAAAAAAAAACGCAACCAAACACAACCGAAAGGACTAAAGACATGGGTAAGTTGTCCTTTTTTTTTTTTTAAACTCTAAGAAACCAATGACTTTTCAGTCAGTTCCAGATATGACTGTCTAACAGCTATTTTTAAATAGTCAAAATAGTGTTTTTCTATACCTCAATTTGGAATATCAGCATGATCTAAAGCAGAAAGTGCAGATGCTTACTTTCTAGATGAGTTAATTTAGACATTTCACTTTCTAGACTTTAAAAACTTTAAGATGGGAATGGCAGATACATATGGTCTGTGATATCATTTTCTGTATTTTTTGTATATGCCTATAGTACCTCAACATTTAAAATAAAAATAAACATTTAAAAATTCACTAGACAACATTCATTAGAAATGGGCTTTCATTAAATCTTGATGTAAAAAGCAGACCAACCATTAGCTACATATTCTCCACTAAATAATTCTTGTGTTTCGATTGGTGTTTCGGAACCAAATACGGAGATCTCATAGAATTTTCCTGTAGTTTGTCACCTCTCTCCATTTACCGTCACGACCCTTCCTTCTTTACCAACGGAGCAGCTTTTCCCACAAAAAGCTCAGAACATTCGGCATCGACACCAGTGCCACACTTAGTGGCAGGAGGACTGGGAAAGAGAATTCGCTCCTCGAGCGATCCTTAAACATGATGGTGCCATTCAACAAGGCCGGTTAGCAAGACATGGAGCTGGCGAATGTTTCATAGAATTTCCTAGGCCTTGACCAAAAGCAAACTTGCCCAATCTTTCCTCAAAAAGGCAGGAAATAGACTGTATTCTCTTTGTGGCATAGAAAAAAACTCCGAGACATAAATGGCGCTGCAAAGGGCTCTGGGCTCTTAACCTTGATTTTGCTGTGAATGTTACTTACCACAGTATGTTAACGTACAAGAGTCGAATAGCACTCAGAGTTCACGGTCTGTTTTACACATCACCTTACAGACAAGGCAATTATGTAGGTGGGAAAGGAGGAGATAATCTATGTTTCTGTATAACTCATTCATTCATTTACCTTAACACCGTCAATTTAGGGAGTTCTCTATTGTAAAAAGAGATTATAGACTGGAACCGAGTTTAAACAGGAGATCACGGAACAGCCCAGAGATAAATACACTATCCGGATAATAGGAAACCAAAATAAATTCTTAGTTGAGCCATTATTTTCTCTAATCTCCTCAGATGGAACCATATTCAAGACTCAGAAGATACTATGCTCAACTGGGAAATTCGTTAGCACCGAGCAAATTGTTCTAATTAAATCAGAAATTTGGAGAATGAGTTACACCTCAACTCAAAAATAACGTACGATGCAAAATAAGAACAACAAATGGAAAATAAAAAGATGGCGGATGTCAATACAAACCTTGCCACTCTCAGCATTCTTTTCGCTCTCTAAGTTTTTAATCTGTTTCTCAGCTGCCTCAAGCTGCTGCCTAAGCTTCTCGACTTCCGATTTACCTTCGGAACTGGCTTTCCGAAGTTCATCAAGAGCCAAGAGCTTCTCCTCGGTAGCCTTGAGCTGTGATGTAACATTATCAATAACCTTGGTTTGTTCACTGCATTTGGCCTGTAGGACCTCTAGCTCCTTTACCTTTAGTTCGGCTTCCTGTAATTTGTTTAAGGTGTCTTCCATTTCTACCAGATGCTGATCTTCTGCTCTGTCCAGCTTCGACTTGATGGCTTCCAGGCTGTTCTCCTTCTCTTTAATGAGCTTCATCAGCTTAGCCCGGACAGCTTCCAGCTCTTTAGCATGAGCGGACCGCTCGGAGTCCTGTTTGTTCTGCAGATTTTCTATCTCGTGCTGGTAGTCTAGTCTCATTTTCTCTATTTGTGTTTTTAGCTCGGCGAATCCTGCCGTCTCCGTCCCAACCCCCTTGCTGAAGGACACCTTCAGCTCCTCCATGGCCTGCTGGTGGGACGCGATGGCGGTCTCCAGCTTGGACTTCCACAGGGCTATCACGTCCGAGTTCTCCTTGTTGGCATGATCCAGTTTGCTTTTCAGGGACTCGTTCTCTTTGGAAAGTTTTTCCGAGGCAGCCTGAAGGGCCTTTATCTCCTTCTGATGCGCTTCTTCCCGGGCTTCAAAATGCTCCTTCAGAGAAGTGGTTTCTCTCTGGTGGTCAGTATGGCTGGCTTCTAACTTTTCTTGCAAAGAGCTTATCTCTTGCAAAAGGGAAAGTGACATATCGACATCCCCAGCAGGCTTACTGGCCTCTAGCCTTCTTCGCAGCTCAGCTACTTCCTGTACTCTCAGTGCTAGGTCTTTTTCTAGTTCCATTATACGAGACTTTTCTGACACCGTAGCCACCTGTTAACAGCAGGCCAAAGAAAAAGAGATCATTTAAATAATAAATCATTGATGATTTTCTTTAACCTTGAAGATCTTTAATAACCATCCCATCTCAAGGCAGCCAGCAGTCAAGCTACTGAGGATGCCCACATGTCAATCAACCTCTAACTGTAATAAAGGCTTAAGGCCGACTGGCAGCTCCAATTCAAAACTATCATCTTTGGCAAACTTCTACCATTTTGAGATGCTAAAGGAATCTAAAATTAATAATGAGTTTAACTCAGGATGTATAGAGGCTTATAGACCTGATAGATATGATTTTAAAGAACAGTACAGTAGCCATTAGCCATACGCGGCTACTGAGCACTTGAAATATGGCTCATCTGAAGCGACATGGGCTCTAAGTGTTAAATATACATCAGATTTTGAAGACGTAGGAAAAAAGAGAACATAAAATATCTGGTTAATTTTTATATCGATTACATAATAAAATGATATTTTGGATGTAATAAATAAAATGTATTAATTGTACCTGTTTCTTATCTATTAAAAAATGTTAATGTGGGTACCAGAAATTATTCAATTTTATATACATGTGGCTCATATTATACTTCTGTGGGATGGCGCTGGTACAAAAGGTGTAATATTACCCATCAAATGTTTCAGTGAATACCACATCGACTGCAGAATAAAAGCCTCAGCTGGACGATGATGAATTAATCTACTGACCTTTTTTTAAATTAAAAAAAAAATGATGACTCACCTGTAATTATGCAAACATCCTACACAGAGTCCTCCTTTTAGGTTTCATAATGCTGTCAGCATTTTGGTGTACACATCCTGCCCCCCTAACCCAGTGGTTCTCAGACTGACGTGCACACGTCACCCGGGACGTACCCTGGATGCAAGTCCCCAGTCCTTCGCATGCACTTTGATTCTACTTCAGCTCTGGAAGAGCACTTTTAAACAGACTCCCCGGGACTAAGAAAAACACTTTCATAACCTGTGTACTTTTATTCTTAGCAAATTATTTCCCTCTGCTACCTGTTCAGCAGTCAGTTTAGTACGCAAAATATGTGGAATAAAAATTAATTATCTGACTAACCTGGGAAACAGAAGGGAACACACCTGATACACACACACCAGTGAGCCCCAGACGGTGGGGTTGAGGCTCCTCCAGAACTGCAGGCTCCTACCCATCGCTGCCTTTACCAGAACAGAAAGTACCGGCAATGCTGCCTTCATCTCCTCTGCCCACCTACTGGCTGTGATATCGATAAAGACTAAAATGGCCACAGAAGAATTAAAAAAAAAGAGCCCTTGGGTCTCCAAAACTGCATAATCAAGTTGTTCACTATTTCAGGGATGACTACGATTGTGTTTCAGGAATACAGATGCTTCAGGTTAAAGATGTTAATTCATTTACATACTTTTTTCTGGGGGTGTTGGGGGGTAGTTCAAGAGTTCGTAACCGCAAATTAAGGTACAAAACATTAATAAACCCCATGCTACAAGGTCTATAACATAAATAAATCCAATAGGGCAATAGTTCTTAATTATTCACAATGAAACAATGAAACAAGAAAGGCCAGGTAAAAAAATAAGTGAAAATAATAACTCACGTGATTATATTTTATGTAACATTTCACAGAACTTCTATTTTTTATTTCCCAAAGTCTGCCCTGAGGTGAAACTATCTACATGTCTGCCTCTTCTATTAGTTTGAGGCCATAAAAGTCAGGTATCGTTTTTATTCTGAAGATACCACTTGTTATAGAAAAATGACACTTGAATCTGAAATACTTGAATAACCGATGCTGTGAAGGGTTGCCTTCTTATCCATAGTCCCCCTGCCCTGCCCCACCCCCAAAAAAGAGCATCAAACTTGTTTGCTGATAAAGCAATTTGGGAGAGGAATTCAGAAGTAAAAAATATATATATATCCTTACCTCAACAGCCAGTCACATTGACGAGCTCAATCTTATTATGATATGAGTCCCTAGTATTCCCCAGATCAAGTCTTTGGCTCTTGGGTAATGAAGAAAAGCACCCAACTGCCAGGATCTTAGTCTTACCAAATATGCAGAAGATATCTTTAGTTTTGAGGCCAACCGAGACCACTCTTTCTTTTTAAAAAATAAAAACTTATGATTTAGAGGAAAAAAAAAATCACTCAATCATCTAGATTTTTAGATCAGTCAGTGACTTCTAGACAGGAGAAATTTCTAAAAATTCTAATAATTCAAAAGAAAAAAGTCAAGATACCAAAATTTGATCAGAGGTAATTTTTGAAATTTTAAAGTTAAGCAACTGGGCAACTGAGCCCAGTTTTATGATTTAAAAAATACACACATACATATTTTCTTGATTTAAAAGATATATATACATACACACATTTTCTTATATGTAAATGAGTCGGAATACTTCTTACACCTTTCAGCACAAAACTATTTCCATAGCAGACAGACTCCATCCCATGGTGGTTAAGAGCGCAGACTCTGGGGCCAAATGGCCCAGGTACAAGTCCTGGCTCCACCTTACTATGTGCTGTGTGAATTCAAGCAAATTATTTAACTTCTCTGTGCCTCTGCCTCAGTGTCCTCATCTGTAGAATGGGGACAATATTACCACCTTCCTCCTGGGGTTGTGGTTAAGACTGAACAAGTTAATACTTGTAAAGTGCTTAGGACAGTGCCTGGCACAAAGTAGGCACTATGTGAGTGCTTCAATATACATAAACAGAAACATGACAAACGCAGTGAGCTGGGGGTGGTAAGAAGCCAATCTGTTCCCAGCACACTCTTCCCTCCTGACAATGAGATTTTAACCTCCCAGGTGATGGAAAGGAGGGAAATGCAAAGAAAGATCAAGTATCAAGAAAAAAAGATAACTGGGGTGAAAGTCCTTAACTCTTATTAAAAAGAACCAATGTTTCAATTCCCTTCCCCCAAGAGGCCCAGGAAGAAGGCAGTAACAGAGAGCTACAGTAAAACAACAATACAAAAAATTATCTAGAAAACCCACTAACTAGGAATATGAGAATAAGAGGACAATTGACTGCTTGTGGCAAACTGAAAAAATGTATTTCAAGGCATTAAACAAAGAACCTGAAATGTAGCTGTGGACAGCCGTGCAGTGTACACAGCTGTAGAGTTTCCGATCTTGATTTTGGTTGCGTTAACCGAAGGAACGAGTCTTTCCTTTTTACAAAAGATCTGATATAAAACTCCTGTGCCTACCCATCCTTCTAATAGAGCTCAACAGTATCGAGACCAAAGTCAGGTTGAACCACTGGGTCAAGGTTTAGGCCAACTGCAAGGCACGTCGCCCGAGGTGTCCACCATTCACATACACGAGTCTGCGTCATTAAATAGTGAAAACCATTACCCTAGTGTCTTCTAACTCCCTCTGGAGTTTGTCAGCTTTGGTCTTTTCAAAGAGCAGGCTCTGTTCAAGCTCCTTAATGCGGGCATGCTCCAGTTTGGTCTGCGTCTGTTAGTAAAAAGGAAGAGGAAGAGAACACAACAGTGCCACCATGACATGCCAGCACAAGAGGAGAGACAGCGGCATGCAGGCCGAGCCACCAGTACCTTCCGCCAAAGGGTCAACAAAAAGGGTAATGGAGGAGGGAAGAGGATGGACGTGAGATGAGGAGGTTGGGGGTGAGATGAACACTACGGCAAAAGGATGAGGGGGGCAGGGGCCATGAGCTAGTCTACTGAGAAAGAAAAAATGGAAAACACATGAGGCAGGATGAAAAGTGTCAGATGCATGCAGCCAAATGTAAGTTATATTGATAAGTGAAGTTTATCAGCACAAATTAGAATAGTTAATATTCCTCTAAACTACCATTTTCCCTCCTCCACACGACAGCTCTTTGACGTTACTGTGTATGTAACTGACTCAGTGACTTTAAAAAAGTAAGCTGACCCTCAACCCTCGCTATCACCTAAATATGAAAAGGTAACACCATAAATAAATCTTGTGAGTGTTTGATAAATCCATGGAGCAGATCATTGCACTCTGGCACATAATTCGATGTGAACAAGGGTCAAGTCGAAACCTAACGAAGGGAATCTAGAAACCAGATCTAAGGAAATGACCCACGGCCTTTGCTGCGATGAGTGAGAAGGGTCTGCGATTCTTAGCAACATTCTCACATCTGACAGGCAGGGAGCCAGCCGTGAAAGCTCTAATTTCCTACCAATAGTAAAGAAAAAAAAAGGAAATCGGATTTACAAAGAAAATCCTTTGTATTAATTATGCTCCACAGCCTCCACCCCTGAGGGTCAGAGCAGGGGAAAGTTTGGCCAGAACTGGGCTATTTTAATCCTAAGGTGGAGTAGGTCTTATCAGCTCAGAGGTAAGAAATGGTGACTCAACACAAAAGCACAAGTTTGAACTCCATGCAAGAAAAGCTGGTAAGAGCCTACCATGTTTCAAAACCTCTGAGATTCCCCATCAGCACTCACTCAGATGGAATCCGATGGAGACCCAGGTGACCCCTTTCTCACAGGTTCAAGTGCAGCCCACTCCCTCTCATACCCAAGAGGGTCGGCATGATCAAATGATGAAACCTACTGACAGAGCTGCTCCCAGCAGCTTCTAGTTATTCGTACTAACTTAAATATTTGCGGCTCTAGCTGGTCACATCTCTCAGTCTGGACCATTACGGGTAATGAAAAAAACAACAACAAACTCTAGATAAAGCAATTGGAAACAGTGTGGAGCTTAGTAGCAGGTGGAATGTTTTCTATTATAAGTGTCTTTCCTCATTCTGGTGGTACTCTGGGGATTTCAATGCATTCAAGAGGCCATTCTGCTCGTAAAACGGATATAAACCATCATGGAATATTTAAAAGGTGAACACAAAATTTGAAAAACACCACCTGTTTCAGTCCTTACACTCAACAAAAATAACATCGAAAACCTAATTGTCTGGATAGTCTCTTTGGTCCATGTGTGCCTCAGACGGAGTTGTTCGATTTACGTGCTTTCACAAGAAAAGGATCCACTCCAGACCTACGTAACGGGGATCGCAGCCTCAAGAACTGAAATCCAAAGCTAACGAGTAAAAGCAAAAGGCAGTAGAACCTTTCTCCTCCGGACACTGAGTTCAGTGTCCTGTGGGTGAAAGGTCATTACTTCCAGGTAAAAAGCAAACAGCCACTGAACGTGACCTCCTCCCCCTCTGAGACCACCCCGCTGGTGGGTGTGCACACAGACGAGGTGGGACTCTGCAGCCGCCTCTCAACAGCCGTCAGCGAGGGGACAGTGATCCACTTCCATGCCATGGTATGCAGTAAAAATGTGACACTGATCAGGACCATCCTTTAAAAATCACCTCTTTCTCAGAATAAGACAGTGTCCCGAGAGGACAGCACTGGGACAGGGACTGAGGGGGAAGCAAAGGCTCTGCGAGAAGCGCACGGAGAGGCAGGAGGGAGAGCCCATGCAGACTGACAGGACGCGAGGGGAGCCTGCTTGGGAAGGCAAGGGGAGACCCAGATCACTGAAGTAGCTTCACAAAAAGGAAACCTTCAGAACGGAGGCTGTTTTTAAAGTTCAGTCTTGAGCTGTCTTAGCTACCGGGAGGCGGTGGGAAGGAACTTTGTTTTAATTTTGTTCTTTCAGTTGGCTTCGCAGCTGGCAGGGTGCACGGAGAAGCCAGGCTTTCCAGACATTTTGGTAAAATTTGAATTGGATGTTTGATCTTACACAGGGGGAAGAAGGGGGGAAAAGCACCTATATGCCTAGTAGCACTGCTACCTGAAAAACTTCACTTTGAAAATAACAAATTTAAAACACACCTTCTCCTCACTGAAGAACGCTGGCCTCTAATTTCATTTCACAAACTAGGGAAAATACTGCAGCAACAAAACAAGTTTGAATTTCAAGTCAGCTGCAATAACAGGCACTGGCCAGCAGTGGGCGCTCACGCCAAAGGCAATGAGTGGGATGCACACGTTCCTCCTACTCTCAAGGGAATAAAATTAGACAACTTGGGAAAACTTCCTCTAGAATTTCTATAACTCCTTCATCTAATACATTTTATACTTCAGTCAGCTATCATCTCTTTTGGAATAATTCTATTAAAATTAGAAGACATTACGAATTAAGTGAAGAAGGCCAGGCCCCCAGACAAAAGTCTTTTTCTCCTTTTTGGCAAAATTCTTCAAAAAGCATACATATGCCTATGTATTAAACAAATGGATTTATAGAGCTTAGTCATTACATACAATTTCTTCAGGATACAGATGTAACTGCTTTGAAAGCCACATGCACATAAATATTAAGGTCAATGTCTCAAGGTCAGATTATGCAGTTAGTATTTGAGTATTATCAATAAGCATTTTAATCTGTAATCAATCTGTTAACAAGGGAAATATCCACACAGTTAAGTGCCCTCTTACATTCTCAGGATCTTCAGAAATCTGGCTCTTTTGCTATCAGTAAAAAAATAAAAAATTAAACAAAATAGAGATTCGACTAAAGTTTCAATATGTTAGGATTTCAAAATAACTTTGATTAATTTCAAGTTCATTCGCTGGACTGACTACACTTGCTCAGTGCTGATGCAAATATTTTAACTCACCCCTCCCCAAAATACCCTACCCTAGGCTATATTTCATATGAATTAGATGATGATGTGAAATTTCTAATGAGATTTTGGGGTGTTTTTAAATGAATGAAAATAAAACAAAAGTCAGCTAAAGGAATGTGACTGTATAGGAAATGGGTGAAAAAGATATCTATTAAATTATTAATAATCCACTAAATCCTGGGCCTTATTAAACTAGAACTCAGAAAACATTTTTCTTACTCTTTGTTGATTGTAAAGATACATTTATTTCCAAAGGAATTAGATTCCCCATTTGGACCAGGGCCCATGAAATTTAAATGTGGTGTGGTCAACAGACTAAAACTTAGTGGTAGCAAAAATGTGTATTCTGACAACAGCACAGACAAGTACGATTTTTACTAAAAGTACAGATTAAAGTACCAGAAATCTGCAAATTTTGAAAAATTTAATAATTTACATTTGTCATATATCTAGCAGTGGTTTGAAAACCATTTAATTGTGGTGTCTCATTTAAAAACTAGTATGAATAACTGTTAAGAGATGAGAAACTTGATGGTAAAGAGAAATCTCTATGAATTTAAAATATGCCATGGAAGTAAAAGAAGTTAAAATATAAAATGCTCTTGTTTTTCTTTTTTCTGGTAATTACTTTTTGAAAAAAATCAACTACTAGAGCATATATTTATTCCTTTTACAGGGTTATAAAAGATTTATCCCGCTCCACTGAAAAGCAAAAAGCTTTGTTTTGGACTATTATGAAGAAAAAAATGTTCCTTTAATGCCATTTCCGATCATTGGAGGAACATTTTCAGTCTTGCTTAGGACACACTGCCAGGTTTATGACTTAATTAACTCCAATTCAGGGTCTGAATTTTGAGGCACAAGAAAATAGTGAGAATTTTACTGGGCCATAGTCTCACAAGCTCCATCACCTTGGCTGGAAGCCACGCCCACAGCCTGGCCAGGGACGGGGCTTCTGCCATTCCCTCTGCTGCTTGTCCTGACCACACGTATCAGCTGGCACAGTGATTTCATCCACATTTCTGAACACTGGTACTCATAAAAGCTTGAGAGAGCTGGAGGGGTTTTACCTCAAGATCGCCTTTAGTAATTGATTCTTCCTCAACCCGGAACTGAAGGTCCTCGACCTTCCTGTGAAACAAAATCAAAACAAGGCACTAAGTAAGTAATATAGATAGATGGATATACTCGATACCCTGGTGAATTTAGCAGGGGATGGTGGAAAGAAATGCCTTAGAGAGACAGAAAATAAATGCGTCTTTAGTCCTCTGGTTTACAGACCTAAGAGCTCTTCTCTATTTAAGAAACTCCAAAGTTTTATCTAAGTACAGATTCCAGAAGGCCTGAGTTAAGAGCCAAGAAAAATAGGCTGGTTCCCTTGGTCATGGCCACCAGAATGGGTCTAATCCAGACAAGATCAGCCTAAAGGGAAAAGGTCTCATCATCACAGAAATAGGTTTGAGAAGGCAAGTCTGAAATTTCTCCTTTTCGATAACAGACCATAGGAGAAAGGGGAACAGAAAACAATCTCTCTTTACACTACTACCCCACGTCAGCTACGTCAGGGCGAGGTGAGCAAACCACCCATGCAGAGAGCCCTGGGCAATACTAGCACCTGTTTCAAGACTGGGAGAATAAGGCTGTGAACGCTTTGGGGGAGAAGCAATCAAGAATACTACTTGTGTCTTCTAAAATGCACATTTTTTCACATTTTAAAATCTGTGATATTGGGTGTGGGTTTCAATCAATGCCATCAAAAAGTCAATGAAATATGTCATCCTGAGGATTTAGATAATCCGGCTAACATCCACATTTGAATCTTTTCAAAACCGGGTGTAAGAGAACAAAGAAAAGGGGGACAAAGTTCATAACCTACATGCAAAAAAAAAAAAAAAAAATCTTTCAAACTCACCAGCATTTCTGACAAAATTAAGAATAAAAAATTAAAGGCCTCACGCCGCCGCAGAGCTGGCAGGATGCCGCTCCTGCCTGGTGGTCGGCAGAGCCAGAGTGGTTGAAGCACAGAAGCAAATGGCTCCAGCGCATCAGCATTCGGAAGGGCCTAGAAAGATCTGTCACTCTCCCTCGTTCACCTGTAGCTGTATTTAGGACTTGAGGAGAACTCCCCACGCACAGTGCTTCTCTCTCCAGCGAGAAGGCAGTCTCCTTGGTAAGAGACTATTGTACTTCCAGTGTGTCCCCTGACCACGGCACTGCTTCTGACATTCCTGAGTGCGGTCACACTAGATTGCTGGTGAATTCAGCCGTGGCCATCAGAAATGACAGAAGGTGGCATTAAATGCAACAGAGGACAAACATCTCATGACCAGAGATGTTCGAATGGTTTCCACGAACACATTTTTTCCAGAGATCTTGTTAGTTCACAGACTGGAAAAACCTTTTTATAAGACCCAAACTTGCTTTCTCTGTCTCGCACAATTCAGCAGCTGACTTCGCCCTGACCTGGATAATGCTCTCATTGCTTCCCATGAGAGTTTTCCTAAGAAGGTATTGAGTTTCTCAAGGATAGGGACCTTCTATCACCTACCATACGTACTACTATTTCATTAGCCATGGAAGGTGTTTCATAAATACCAGGTAACTTGGTAAGGCTGCAGGCAGAAGCAGGGTTTGAGTCAGTGAATCTACAACACTTAGATTATCTTCAAGAGCAGAGGTTCCCACTCTCTGGCACCAGCCTGTGGCCTGTTAGGAACCAGGGTACATGGCAGGAGGTGAGCGGCAGGCGAGCGAAGCTTCATCTGTGTTTGCAGCCACTCCCCAGCGCCGGCATCACTGCCTCAGCTCTGCCTCAGATCATGAGGCATTAGATGCTCATAGGAGCACCGGTCCCTGGTGCCACAGAAGCTGGGGACCGCTGCTCAAGAGGATGTTTCATATGGCAGACACTCAATAAATAGTCATTAGGTTCATCAGGCCATGTCTAGATGACTCCGACCTTCTCAAAAATAAAGTCAAATAAAGGAAACTCTCTCTGCGCAGTAGGAAGACCTCGATTTCCGCGGCAGGCACGGGGTCACTCCTTTGGTTCTGAGGGCGGACGCCTCAAGGCTGTTTATGGGAAAGGCCACGCCTGCACCCCGATGGCTGAGGATCACCTTTTCTCCTCTTCGAGTTGGTTGAGAAGCTCCACCTTCTCCCTGTCGGCAGCTTCCACCATTGTTCGCAGCTGATCCATCTTGGCCTCCAGTTCCAGGACGTGCTGGGGAAGGCAAGGCTGTGAGTATGTGGCCCCTGTCTGACCCGATAGCCCCAGGCATGCCTCCAGAGAGCTATGGCTAAGTGGTACCACCACGGGCTGGCATCACTCTAAAACCTTTTCACGTTAAAATATGTTCTAGGATCTTTAATAGGTTATTCTCGACAGAATTCCTGGAAGCTACATGATAAAAGCCACACCATTAAAGCAATAGAGGGCAGGGCAGTGTTAAAACAACTCTCATCTTTTTGGAAGCTGAAACTCATACAAAGGATAATCTACAAATCACAAATTGTAATCCCGAGTAAAGTCCTAATAAACAAGCTCGCCAAACACAGACAGGCTTAAAGACCTGGACGTAAGGACCACAAGGCCAAGGGAGACTCAAGAAGAACAAAAGTCCATCTTTCTGATGATGCCAACTGGTATTCCAGATCACAGCTCTCAAACGAGCCCAGCAAAGACATTAATACTCATTCCGTCCCTCATAGCGCCCCCAAGACTAGTTCCCCGTCTCCTACCACCAGGCACGCGGTTCGGCCTCCTCCCTCAATTCACAGCCCGTCGCCACCTCCACAACAAGGTCAGCTTAGAACCCGTCACCACCTGCGCAGCAAGGTCAGTGCCAGACTTCACCTGGTCGTGTCCATCCCGGGCCAGAGCTAGCTCCTGCTCTATTTCCCCCACGTGGCTCGTGGCCTTGGCCACCTCCGCCCTCTCTAGATCCCGTTCAGCCAGCAGCTGCTCAATGTGCTGCTGCTTCTCCTTCAGGGCCTCCTGGAGGGCAGTGGTGCCGGAGATCTTCCTGGCGTAACGGGAGGAGGTTTCGGTCAACTGCAAAGGAAAGTTAAAGACGTGAAGGGCGACGATGCCATGAGGGATGGGAGGAGGGAGCGAGGCAAAGCAAAAGCAAAGCACTGCCCCCGCTCCCAGGCTCGCCAATCGGCAGGAAAGGCTTTTCATCAAGAAAACAGGGCAGCAAGAGCCTCCTGAATGTAAATTTCACAGAGAACACATCAATGTAAAGAGGTCATGGAACAATCAGGAGGGTGTTTAGGAGAATTAGTGGCTCAAATCACAGGTACCCTGAGGTCAGTTGACAAGACCTTGCAGGAATCTAGAAAATCCCACAGAAGCCATTTAACTCCATTCCAGCCCCAGCTTCATTAACAGCTATCTTCTGGTTTTGACATTTTGGCCAATCTTTTGATCTTCTGACTTGAGGCTGAGACTTTTCAAACTTCTAAAGCTTCTAAATACCATTAAATAACCAAGAGGTCACCCTTGGAGTCATGAACTTTCATTCAATTGATTGAACAGCTAGCTGAATCTTTGTCAGGATTTTCTTCATCTTTCTTTCAAGATGTAAGGCAGGGGCGATCTCACCCAGGAATCCAGCCTTGAGGACCTGAGGCCCCAGCTCCAGAGAGATTGATAAAGATTAAGAAGAAAACTGTGTCTGCCTTCAGAAGTGTGTGGGAGTGAGTGGGTGACTGTGCCTATGTCTGGGTAAGTGCGCACACAAGCGACAAAGAAGGAAAAGGACGTGGGAGACAAAAGAGAAGAGAAAGAGAACTTACGCAGAAAGAGAAGTAGTGGAAGGAGGCGGGAGGGAGGCAGGAGGGAAGCGGGAGGACGAAGGGTGACGGAGAGCGAGCCTGGCGGGCTGAGGGGTGGTGCGAGAACGAGTTTCAATTCTGTCATCTGCTGCCCTCTGCCGTCTCGCACACCCAATTCCTCCATCGTGAGGAATCACAGTCACGCAGGACCACAGAGAACATGTTACCGGCTAACTGGGCAGGCTGCGTAACGGTCTTCCAGGCTAGGCTTCAGAGGCTGCTGGTCGAGAAAAGGCCTCATCCCCTGCCAAGTGTCTGTCCAAGGCCATTTCCTTAGCGATTGCTGGCTCTGGGTCAAGGCGGCCTTGACTGCATCCTCTGTGATTGAAGCCGCATTTGTCGCTTCGTCGGTCCATCTGAGCTCTGGTCTAGGATGCTGACTGTGGGTGAGAGTCTGTCATCGATTAATAGTTAGGCAATCTGATAACTATGAAGGGAAAGGAATCCAATCAAACCGAAATTGTCCTTGCGGTTTCTATTTAGTAAAATTTCTTGAGTTTCTTAAACATACTGGGGAGGTGGGGACTTCCCGTTCCTTCTTTTCCCATCTGGGAATGAAGCCTTCCAATTTCATGACATGGATGGTTAAATTATACTTTCTCATAACAACATTTCTTCCTGAATATGCTAAATCTGAGGTTCCCAAACCCTGTGCAGAGGTACCCCAGGGTGCACTCAAAGGGCACCGTGAAATATTTTTAAATTTGAAGAGAAACACAGTGACACCTGTTGGATACCATGCAAACTACCAGTCTGAGGCAGGCTAGTTTCGACAGGCTTTGGCTAGAAATAAATGATCAAGATTTATTCAAGGGTCTTAGGGTTTGCAACCTAAGAAACACACCGAGGCTATACCCAGAGTGTTTTGAAGAAGAAAGAAAAGCTAAGAGTTTTTATAGTAACAAGCATATTCTTGAGAAGAACCCTGGACTGGTCCGAGATGATGATCCTCCAGGTAGCTGGTGGTCTGGGTAATGGACGTCAGGCAGTTGGGACGCGTGAACATTCTGTGTCCTTCAGGAGTTATTAGAGGGTTATCTACAGGTGTTACACATATACGTATGTATCTCTCCAGGCACAACTAGAAATTTCAAAAGTTTCAGTTTCCTGGCTCATTACAAAGAGAACAGATTCACTTCCTCGGGCTTCGGCCTATGTGCCTTTATTAATTCAGCAGCTTGATGACGGCAACTCCATTTTATTTCTTCGCTCTTCAGATGGCCATACACTCCTTTCAGTAACGTCGTGTCTCTCCAAAGCCAGCCTGTGGCTACTGCCATGACAAAAAGCAGGTACTGTGCAAAACTCAGTGCAGCACAGGACACGAGGCGGCGGTGTTCCACGAGATTCCAGGGTTGGCAGAGGCCCACTGTAGCATACAACCTAACGGTGATTAGTTATAAGGACGAATTGAAAATATTAGTTTTCTTTTAATTAGTAGGTATCACTGTTTTTGAATAGCTACCTAAATTGTTAGGACATAGATATTTTGTTTTTTGAACCTAATTACTTAGTAAACAGAACCGTGGGCTATTTTTCCTTTGGCCTGGAAGCGCCGTGAAAAAGTAAGAGACACTCAGAGGTGCCGTGAATGCCCGGCCCTCGGTGCTCAACACTTTCAGACCGTTTTGCATGGAAGAACCTTTGGACTTTTTTCTACATGTGTGATTAGGATCACATTGCCGAGATATGTCTCTAGGAAATCACACTTTCAATTATTCTACATTCTTGGCATATTCTTTTACAGTGATTTTTGACTTAGAAACAACAGCCACCCTAAAGATATTTAAAAATAAGCTCTTTTACACGGCAGGGTGACTCCTTTCTCCTCTGTCAGTGTCCTTCACGGAACGAGGTGAGCTGAGAGGACTCAGAAGTGGCCTGAAAAGGAGACTGTGGGGAGCAGGGAGAGCTTATTATTTTTCAAAGAAATGGACACTTATAATTACAACGTGATAAAAATGACACTTCTGCGCAACTGTCCGGGCTTGGCGGAGCAGACCAGCTGCCCCGTTAGCGTGCGGGCCCACTCGGACAAGGCTTTGTCCAGACGGAGGGGTGTCTTCGCCTCCGTTTCGTTGTTCTTGGCAAGCTTTTTCATCAAGTCCATTTGTAATTTTTCTGTTGAGGATACAGACTTCCTTTTCACATGCTAAGAGAGTCCAAGCAGGTTTTCATTTTCCCTGAACACAGAGGAGGAAAGGCCAGCTGGCTGCGGGGTGCACGACCCCCACTTTCCGAACAGAGCCCTCCT